TTTCATGACTATTTCTTTGGCTTGTCAAAAGCTTGTAGTTTGATCATGTCCATTTATTTATTTTTTTGCTGCTGTGATTCCTTTGGGACTTCTTCATAAACTCTTTGCCCAGCGCGATGTCTAGGAGAGTGTTCCAACTTTTTCCTCTAGAGTTCTAATATTTCATATCTATGGTTGTAGTTGTTATCCACGTGAGTGTTTGTTGTGAGAGGAAGAGGTTGGTCCTGTTTTAGCCTTATCAGGGTGGCTATCCAGTTTTCCAGCACATTTATTGAAGAGGATTTTTTCCCCAGCGTATGTTTTGTCTGCTTTCAAGATGAGATGGCTATATGAGGATGGTTTTATATCAGGATTCCACATCTGTTCCATCGCCAATACCTGTGTTGTGCCAATACCATATGTTTAATACTACAGCTTTGTAGTATATTGGATATCTGCATATTAATGCCTCCATTTTGTTTTTGTTGCCTAGAATTGCTCTTGATAATTCGGGTCTTCTCTGGTTCCATACGAAGCGTATAAATTATTTTTTCATCTGTGAGAATGCTGGATGTTAATAGGTATTGCAATTAATCTTAGTCAGTTTGGTAGTAGTAAATTTTGATGATATTGAGATCTGCCGATCACCGAGCATGGTATGGATCTTCATATCGTTACTCCTCTGCTATTTCTTCCATTGTTTCATAGTTCCAGTAGAGTCTTTTACCTCTTTGGTTAAATATATCACTAGGTACTTTAATTTCTTTGTTTGCTATTGTGAAGAAGTGAGTCTTGATTGTGGTTTCATTAGATGTTGTTGAGCGTATATGAATGCCTGCTGATTTCTGTGTACTAATTTTGTATCCTGAGACTTTTACTAAATTCAGTTGATCAGGTTCCAGGAGTTACTTGTTGAATCTCTGGGTTTTTCTAGATAATCAATATCATATCATCAGCGACAAACATTGAAATTTTGATCTCTTCTGCCCCTATTTGGATACTTGATGAATATAGGATGCAAAATTTTCAACAAAATCTTAGACTAGACGAATCCAGACATTATCAAAAAATAATCCACCAGACCAAGGGGGTCTCATCCCAGGATGCCAGGATGGCTCAACATACGGTAAATCTATAAATCATTCACCATAAACAGAGAAGAAACAAAGATCCACATGATCTTTCATAAGAAGAGAAAAGCTTTTGACAAAATATCAACACCCTTTCATTGATAAACACTTAAGAAAAATAGGAATAGAAGGGACATACCTAAAATCGATACAAGCCAATATGACAAGAACCCATAGCCAACATACACTGAATGGGAAAGATAAACATTCCACTTAGAACTGGAACCAGACAAGCTGCCCACATCTCGACTTTGTTCAACATAGTGCTGAATCTTGGCTACAGCATCAGACAGGAAATAGATCAAAGGCTATCCAAATAGGGGCAGAAGATCAGTCTATTTCTGATATTCTTTACTTTTAGGTGTACCTCTCTAGGTCTTCAGTTGTGAGGCTGGGGACAATAACCTTGGGATCCAAGTCCCAAATTTCTGTTTTTGTTAACAGTACAAGAAGACTGCCAGAAACTCTCTGCATTTCTTAGGCTCTGCATGGATTTTTAACCTCCCAGTCTGAACAGCTTGAGAATTCAGTAAATATCTTTGGAGGAAACAAAAGTACCACTTTTCCATACAACCTTTCTGTTGGCTCCTTCAGTTCTGGCTCCCTTGCTAGTCCTGAATTCTAATTTTCTCTCCTATCCTGAGAGAATGCCAAGCTGTGGTAATTTTCTGCAACTTTGTAGTATTTGTTGGGTTGCATCCCAGGATTTTGTTCCTGCTCCATGAGTCAGCAGGTGCCCCTGAGCACTTGCCCAAAGAGAAAAGAAACATCCAGAGTATTAACACTCCTCTTGGGTTTCTTTCTCATGGTATTTTGGATTTCCAAGCCTAGATGCCTGTGAAGCTCTACAATGACTTCACAAAGATGTACTTTGAATTGCAGTCTGAATTCTGTAATCCTGGGAAATATAATTTCTACATGCTACTTGATCTTAGGTAGGTGCAATATCCTGTATTAGTCTGGAATGGGTAGTTGCTATCTTTTAGAAACTTAAATGATTCCAAAATGAAATCCAAATTGAAATACACTATTTTTGTTTTACCATATCTCTGGGGTCATTTAATGAATTATATTTTCATAAAAATTAATTTAAATTTCATAGACTTTCAAATTAATGTACATGGAGTTGAATAAACTTATCCCTTACATTTAAATTGCTCTTTTTATCTGCAGTTATTTTCTTAATACTCTTTTAATATTTATGTTCATACCTTTATATCTTAATAGTCATATGGTGGCTTGTTCTTTTATTTTCCAAATATCAGCTCTCTGATTATTTGATATCAGCTCATATATAATCTTTTTTAATTCATTATTTTTTGGTTTTAGCTTTGTTAAATTGATTCTTCTGTCTTGGTTTATCTACCTATTATTAATATATTTTTATATTTCTTATTAATTAATATACATACTTACAGTTAGTTTTGTTATCATTTTTTTTCTAAATTTTGAAATTGAGATTATTTGGCCTTTAGTAATCTGTCCAGTGGGTTTAAATTAAGAATAACATTGAATGTTTTGTGAAGAATGTCTTATTTTAATGGAGCTTTTGAACTATTTCAAAGAGAACAGTTTCTATAATCATGTGAAACAGAAATTAGTCCCATTTTTTGAGTAGAGAGGGATCCAGAATTGTGCTGTCTAAAAAGATACTGTTTTTATTTTATTTTTTTGAGTGCCCTTAGAAAACTTGGTACAGGCCACTACTTAAAAATTAATTGTGTAATTCTGGTTTATTTTCTCTTTTGTAATAGGAGTGCTAGGACCTAGCCATAGCTACCTAGGAGTCGGATCCATCACAGTCAAGTGAAATTGTTACCGAATGTTCAGCATTATTCCCAAGGCTGCATCAGAATGAGGACAAGCAGCTTGAGGAAAAGGAAAGAGAAGTTTGTTAATTTTCTGACAAATAAGGAGGATGGCAGACTCTTTTTTTAAAGTACCATCATCCTCTCTATAAGCAGAAATACTGAGCTTTTAAAAGGAGTTTTTGGCTTTGGGCTATTGCTCTCTAACTATAGCATCTCCAGTGAACACAATCTTGTGACCTCTGCCCAGGTAATTCTGTTTGAGGCATCTCCTGTGCTATAAAGAACAAAAGACACTCCCCTGCCCCTCTTTTAACTGGCCTCAGGCAGGGATGCAGGTTTTAATTCTCAAAAAGAGAGGGGGGTAGGGTTTGTAAAGAGACAACTCATAAAACATTTAACCCCTTTTCAGGCCTTTTCCTCTGTTACAAAGTGAGCCTCAGTGTCTTCTGGAAGTCTCACTGACTTTTTGCCTTCAAAGAACTGATAAAAACTATGGATTTCAATTGAAAGTCGTATTTGCTTCTCATTGTTTTTAGTTCTTGTCCTTCAGTGACTTATAGAACCCTGGTCATTGAAAGAAATTAGAAATATTTTTATTCCAGAATATGACATTTTGACATTTTGGACTGGCTGAAAAAGAAGCCTCAAGGTCTCTCTGACCTTCCCTCCTCCCCCCCACCACCACCGCCATCTTAGATCCTCCCCAAACTCCAAATTGTTTAAGTTTCTTTATCTGCCTGAAATCAGGACCCCCGCCCCCAAAAGAACTTGTCATTTCCTTCCCCTTCCTGTAAGACCAGGGCTGTGACCACATCTGAACAGACTGCTTAAGAAGGTAATGTCCTTTCTCTCAGACTTTTTTAAATTCCAAAAGGGAACTATTTACCAGTTACTCTTGCTTCCTCATCTATCCATTCATCCTCCCTGGTGGTCCTCTGTTACCCTTGACAGAATCCCTCTTTTCTCCTTCCCATATTCCATTTTACCAGAAAGGCATATAAGCTCCTGAACTCCACTGGGGTGTTGAATCCTCATTTTCTGGGAGTTCCCATGAATGCACATTAAATACATTTGATAGCTTTTCTTTTATTAATCTGCTTTGTCCTGAGTTGATTTTTCAGCAAAACTTCTGAGAGCCAAGGGGGAGTTTTGCTTTCACCCTCATGGTTGAATATTAATTAAAATGTATTTGCAAAAAAGGAACACGTATTTCTTTGAAAGGAAGAAGTAGAAGTCACAGAGGGACTTTTGAGTATCTAAGATTTGGCTTTGTTTCCCATTAAATGATTTGTCACCATATTTCCTTAGTTTTCTTCTTTCTCCATGTCTTTAATGTTTAGTATTTACTCAAGATGATTCAGTGAGTATACTAAACAATAATTACTTTTACAGCTAAATAATTACCTTTGTATCCACAGGTCCTATATCCTTGGAGCCAACCAACTACAGATCAAAATCATTCAAAAATAAATAATTTAAAAATAATACAACAGTAAAAAAGTAAGACAAATAAAAATACAGTATAACAACTATTTACATAGCATTTCAATTGTATTAGGTATCACAAATAATCTAGAGATGTTTTAAAGTACATGGGAGCATAGGCATAGATTTATGCAAATACGGCCCCATTTTATATGAAGGACTTGAACATCCACAGATGTTGGGATCCTCAGGAGGTCCTGGAACTAATCCCCCGTGGATACTGAGGGACAGCTATACTGTATTGACCACTATGGAGGGCATGGCATTGAGGATAAGGAAAAAGAAAAATAGTTTCCGGAGAGTAAAACAAAGGAGAAAATACCTTTTCAAATAGCTTCTTACCCAGGAGGAAAACAAAAATAGTTGCTGTTTTAAAGTGACCTAAGGCACATCCATAATTGACATTGGAGTGAAGGGTGTTTTTGGCTTGTCCCAGGTGGTTTCATTTTGGACACTTTTCAACTGGGGCACTAATTCATCATTTTCACTTTCTGAGCCATGGTCAGAGCTGTGGTCTATGACATCATAAGGAGTGATCCACAGAAGAGAGTCCTTGGACAAATAAATCTCTTTTCAAAGCTATTTGCACATTTAGATAGCCTGTCATTACACTAATTCCTGAGAAAATCAAATAAGACAACCACTCAATTTACTCTTTAATTTACTCATCAAGGCACTTAGGAAGAGGCTGAAGGAGATCACTGGGTCTGCAGGGAACAGGAAATCACAGTGTAAAAGAAGCAAGGTATTTCTTACTCATCAGAAAAGCTGCATTTACTATTTCAAGGTCATGTTACAAAAATGAGTCCTGTTATTAGGGTAGATGTAAGATTCTATTGACACAGGAGTCATTTCTAGAGGCCCTGGAATACTCAGCCACTGGTTGGACTGCTTTGCTTCCTTTGAAATTCATGGTAGGCCAATCCATAGGAAATTATATACCTCATGTTAAGAATTTAAGAAGCATATATGGAAAGAACAAAGGTAGTTGGAATAAATTGCTAGTAAACAGTTGAGATTACTTTTCTACATCTACAATATATTAAAAAAAAAAAAACCAAGAAGGAGCTTAGGAGAACCTTCAAATTCTGGCTAAGGCTCTTAAATCTTGCCTTTTCCACTTTCTTCTTTTTGACATTATAGAATTTAACAGATTCCAATGAAGGAGTGGTAAGGACAGAGGGAAAATATTTAAAGGTGAAAGTACATAGCTAAAGAGTCCTAATCCAGATGGTTGGAAGGGAAATCTTTCAGTTTTCAAGTAATACAATTTGTTTATCCTACCCATCCCTCTCTCTGTTACTAAAAAAATCTTTTTTCTGCATATGAAATTCCTAAAAGTAGATGGTAAACTTCTAAGGGCATAGACTAATGGACTATATTCTTTCCCTAAACCTCTTTTCCCCCGTATCCTAGACTCTCCTTTCATGCCAGAATAGCATCCAGCATGAGGTATGAGAGAAAGTAAGTCAATTAATTTCTCAAATACCAATATCACTTTCACATCCAGATGAGTATTTTGACTTCACTGTGACCTTGGGCGGTGCTACAGGTATTACAGAATAAGGCCTATGATGAAATCATTTTAGATACTCCACTTTATGAATTGCCTTAATGGTTTTGCAGTAGAGTTTTGTAAAAATCTTTAAGTGAGCAAAAATCTGCATTGACTCAATATGTATCTATTATATTTCTGTGTCTATTATATCTCTGAAATATGCATAAAGCACCCACAATTGTATGGAATGAAAATGTCATCTCCATTGCTTGCAACTACCCTGCAGAGTCTGGATCATGATTTTTCAGTGCATCTGAATTTGTTTCTATACTGAAGTGGTAGTGTTCTCTCCCACATGCCTGTCTTTTTTATTTTTTTAACACAAAATTCTATTAACATATCTATTAAATTGAAATATTATGTGACATATATCAAGCATATGATCATTCACAGATGGTAAGAATTCACAGGCAACCTCAATATTTTGACAACCATTCCATTCTTTAACTTATTCTTGGCCCCCTGCTTTAGGATATGTGTAGTTTCTTCCTGACTTTTCTAAACTCTTCCCATTTTGGTTTTTAAGACTTTTTTTTCAGTCATTTTCTCACCCGGAGTCTTTGCCCACTCACTTTTTAGAGGTGGTACTGGCAAATAGCATGTTTGTTTTTGAAGATAGACAAAAAAAAAAGTGTAAAACCAAAAACCATTCTTAGATGCATTCCAGCCAAACCAACATTATCTTGACTTTCTGTAATAGTCACCATAGCGTTTCCCTCCCTCTTTCACTCTCTTTCTCCCCTACTCCCTTCATCTCACTGAAATGCTTGAGAAGAGAAAAACACTCTGGTTGTAGGAGAGAGAGTTAGAGCTTTAAGCTTTGCTCTCTTCTGGATTCAGACCCAATGAATCTCTCCTCAGTTCTTTTAGGTTATATAAAAATATTAAGAGACATGCTATCTCTCAGCAAAGCATGTCTTTCTAAACTGGATTTGATTTTTGGAAACAACCAAATGCCTTTCAAGGCCAACTCTAGAAAATAATTTAGGTGATCAGACTAAGAAATTCCATAATTTCATTATTTTTATGTCTAAAGCCATTTATTCAACAAAATATTGTTTGAGTTCCAGGTTAGGTATAGAGTAGTAAACAAATAAACATGATATCTATACTAATGGAGTTTTTAATTAAAAGAACACACAGTTGTCCTTAGCTATCCACAGGGGATTAGTTCTAGGAACCTCCACAGAGAACAAAACCCACAAATGTTGAGGTCCCTTATATATTATTAATAATAAAATAGCATAGAATTTGTGTATAACCCACACTCATCGAGTATACTTTAAATTATCTCTAGATTGCTTATAATGCCTCATACAGTATAAATGCTGTGTAAATAGTTGTTATATATTTTTTATTTACATTAGTTTTACTGCTATACGTTAAAAGAATATTTTTTGATCTGTGATTGGTTGAATCCACTAATGCAAAACCCATGAATATAGAGGGCTGACTATATACATACCTAAAATTTACTACTTTTAATGCCTTCTGCTTTCTATATGGCTAAAACGGTGTTTATCATGTCTTTGCTAACCAGTTATTTAGCAAACCAGTTGTTTTAACACCTTCCTATTGTCTTTGATTTATTCATTTTCACTGGTTTTGAAGGATAATTAAAATACAACAGGGCTCTACTCAAGTAAAACTATTGTTTTGGGGTTATCTCTAGCTTTGCAGGTAATTTTTTTGCCATTTTGCCTTGTTGTTGTTGTTAATGAGAATGACTAATGGGGAGACAGGAAGAGGCACAGGAAAAATTAAATCTCCATATTTGGATGTTTGCCAACTGGTGTGATTTACCTAGGCATGTACTTGCTTTTTCAATCTTGCGTATTTTCTAGGAAGAAATGAGGGAGGGGTAAGAGAGTATTAGGGGCAATGGGAATTGTATTGAATATTTGGCTATGTCAATACTCTGCTATTTAACAGAGTATTATTTTTACTGATTAACTGAGCTATTTTCAGATCTGTGTCAGTTTGGGTTTTCTGAGAAGCGACACTGAGTTCTGAGTACAAGAGGGTTATTGGAGGTAACACCTATGAAAGATAAAGGTGGAGGAAACAGGATAGCGCAGGGAGAGCTTCAGACCACGATGCAGATCTAACAAAGATTCAGCCAAGGATCAACTTAACAGGGAGGTTCACAGCAAAGACTGTTTTTGTTTTTTGGGTTTTTTGGGTTTTTTTTTGAGACAGAGTCTCACTTTGTTGCCCAGGCTAGAGTGAGTGCCATGGTGTCAGCCTAGCTCACAGCAACCTCCAACTCCTGGGCTCAAGCAATCCTTCTGCCTCAGCCACCCAAGCAGTTGGGACTGCAGGCATGTGCCACCATGTCCGGCTAATTTTTTCTATATATATATTTTTTAGTTGGCCAATTAATTTAGTTTTATTTTTAGTAGAGACGGGGGTCTCACTCTTGCTCAGGCTCATTTCAAACTCCTGACCTTGAGCAATCCTCCCGCCTCGGCCTCCCAGAGTGCTAGGATTACAGGTGTCAGCCACCGCACCTGGCCGCAAAGATCGTTTTTAAGAGGAGTCCTGTTTCGGGTGGAAATAGCCAAGCCCTAGATAGCTACTGTAGTCATTGGCTGGAAGGGTTGCAGGAAAAATAAGGCCTGGCTCAAGATCCTAGAGGCACCATAGCTGGAAGCTGTCAGCTAACTTCACCCCTTGCAGCTGACTGGTAAGTTCTTTCGTGAAGGGAGAGCAGAACAATGCACCTCTATGGATGCTACAGTCCCAGGCACATTAGCCTCTGATCCTTCCTGATCGGGGCAACTAGACCTTGCAGCATTCCTTACCTTGGAGATGTTACACAGAAACAGGAAGAGAAGGAATATTCAAGTCTTGGCTTTGAGTTCCAAAACAGACTTTTAAAATTATTTCAACAGATTTAGGGGGTACAAGTGAATTCCATTCCATGTATATGTTATTGATGGTGAAGTCTGGGCTTTTAGTGTACCTATCACCCAGGTAGTATACAACATACACAGTAGGTAATATTACAACCTCACCCCTCCCACCTTCCTCCCTTCTGAGTTTCCGATGTCCATTATACCACTCTGTGTGACCTTGCTAACTATAGCTTAGCTCCCACTTATAAGTGAGAGCATGCACAAAACAGACTTTTGATATGCATGGCTATGACCATTGTTTGTGAGAAAAGTCATTGTAGTTATCCAGTCAACAAAAGGTAGAATAGGAGAATTCTGTGACCAGAGAAAGTTGTCAGACTCTTGGAATGAGGAGGAAGGAGACTGAGAATGAAAGAAGAGATGGAAGAAGCTGAAGCTCCTGGGCTCAATCCTGGTGGGGGGAAGGACAACATCAGACAACTCAGGCAAAGACTTGAGTGCCTGACCCAGGGACAGCGCTCTGCACGTGACTGTACAAGTTGTGCCCTGCCCTTGGACTGACTCCAGGCTGAAAGCAGGGCTGAAATTCAGTTTGCATGCTGCCCCATGAGCCATCAGACCAGGAGGAAAGAAGTCTTCTTCTAATTGTTCTTCCTGGAAGGGGCATATCTTTGCAATTTGTCTATAAAGAAGGGATACTTCTTTCTAATTCACACAGTTGTCCTGTGCATTAGCAGGGGCCCTGCCAATACATCACTTTCTGCATGGAGTCTGAGAAAATCACAAGGTCTTAGAAGCCTCTCCATTCAATCACGGTACAGATGGGGAGAGAATAAATGTCAGGTGGATTGTTCATGATCATGGGCCTGAAGGATCCTCACGTATGATCAGCACAGCTTGGGGAAGTCCAGAATGTCTCCTCCTGAACTTAAGAGAAGTGCTGATGTGCTACTGAAGCCAGAAGAGCTGGAGAGGTGGTAGAGTGGAATAAGGAGCTTTTCTAGAGAAGTAAGGAATAAGGAACTGAGAGCCAAAGAGCATATCAGAGTTAGTGGATGGCAAATGCATAAGTAATGTTGACTGAGAGTCCATTTTTCCCTCCTGTGTATTATATAAACATGGGGGACTCAGTGACATCTCTGGAAAGAAATTAGAAGAATTTTAAATTGATTAAAACATTCATATACATGAGATTACCTAAATTCCCTGAGATTAAATATATACCATTGTGAGGAATAGGGGACCCAAGTAGTTGCATGGTATAAATATTAAAATATTTACATTGGTTTTCACAGCTTGGTTTTTGACCTGAAAATTTAGAAGCTCTACCACACATTAACAAATAACCAAGATTTCAGATTGAGGTGAATTTGCCCAAAGTCTCAGCAATAGTTAAGTGAAAGAGCAGGACTAGGATTCAGACTTTCTGGCACCGACCTCAGTGTTCCTTAACTTAGAGCATCAAACTTCCTCTCTGCAACTTGTTAAGAAATCCAGCTAGCGCTATGTAGTGTTTGGCACACAGCAGGTACTAGATAAATGCATGCTAGAGAATGTTAATTGACTCATTTGCTGTATTCCTGAACGTTGAATTAGTTGCACACACAAGGGTGAGAGGCTTTAGTCTTGTGCTTTGAAAGGCAAACCATGATGAGCCTAGATGCTTTAGAGGAAGGGAATGGGGCAGTTGAAACCAGGATTTTAAATGATTGGAACCACTGATCTGTTTACACACATGATGCCAGCGTCTCACTGGTGAATATTACAGAAGAATTTCAACTGCCAATGTGTTGTATACAGGTCTAGCACCCTGCAATGACAGAGCTGCACTGACATTGCTTTCTTGTGAAAATACCACCTACCATTAACTGCAGACAACAGGCCTCTCAGTTATGTGGGGTTCTTTTAGCGTAGTATCACACACACACACACACACACACACACACACACACACACTCCTTTGTGTCTACTCCACAACCATGAAGTCTGGGAGCCAGACCAACTTATTTCATATTTCAAAAGCAAAGTATTTAACGTTCTTACATTGACTCACAAAGTAAATTCCACTTTAATAGGCACATTCACACATACTCACAAAGCAAAAATGTGCATTTGCAGGCAGATTTCTTAATTTATGGATCCATTGTAAGAGCTAAAAATTTAGTCCTTAAAATGAAGCAAAACTAGGAAAAATCCAAAAGTCCGCCAACAAGGGAATGAATAAAGAAACAGGTGCATTCATACATGGAATGGTGTTCAGTAATATGAAAGAACAAACTACTTATATATCAGCAGCATAGATGAGGCTCAAAAATGTTATGTTGAGCAAAAGAAGCCAGGAACACACACACACACACACATACAAATTAGTATACTTACATAAACTTTTAGGACAGGCAAAACAAATATTTGGTTAAAAATAGTAGAAAATTTGGTTGCCTCTAGAGTGGTTTGCCTGGAAAGGGTACAAGGCAACTTTCCAGAATGATAGAATAATTATATATTTAGAATCTGTGAATTTTACTGTATGCTAATTATGCTTCAATAAAAATAAATACATTGATGTTCAAAAAAGGGGCTGAAGAAATGGCTATAGGCAGAGATGTCAAGACATGGCCACAACGATGACTGCTATTATCTGCATTGTCTCCAAGATGACATCTACTTTCTTTGGAACACTGGACTCCATTAAAGAAAGAGTTCAATTGGTTTTCTAGTGGACAGATAATAGGTAATATAACTCTTTGGATAATTTGTCATTGACTCTATGAAGAATACTTTAAGTTGTTTTCAATACAGTTTATTACGTATTTTACATGACCAGGAATATCAGATTATAATTGGTATATATCATAAAAATAAATTAAACATTGTTTGAAAAATCACTCACCCCTCCTTTTTCCAAAAAAAAAAAAAAAAACCAAAAAACAAATGAACAAAAAAACCACCCTGGAGTCAAAGATTTCAACCTGAAGTTATGGTATTTTAGAGTCTTGAGTTGTCTCCTGGTTTGGTATTTAACTTTATGAACTTGCATATAACAGCATTTACTCAGAGGTTGTTAAATGGGTCGAATCAACTGTCATATATAATAGCACATTGTAGATAATAAAGCACTACATAAACATATATTATTATTGTTGTTGTTACTATCTAATATAGAGACAACAATCAGACTTTTTACCTTTAAGTTAGAAGAAGGCTAGGGATACCATCGGTGTAACATGTTAAATAGACATCCTATTCTCCTACAGTGACTTTGATTTCATGTAAGAATTGTGATGCATTTACATTTGGCTCTGTGTGTATTAATATTTCCCCGCCCTCACCTCACACTCCAGCACATTTTCCATTCACCTTCATCTTTAGCAATCATCTGCAGAAAAATGCCATTCAATCTTCATTCAAACAATATTTTGATATCCACTGGGCGCTTAGTGTGAGGTTGGTTTGGGGGTGCAGCAAGAAGGGACAGGATATTCCAGCCTCTCTAAATCACTATCTCAGCTTGTTTCACTGTAAAGTGCTCAGCATCTTGATTTTTGCTGTGTCAGCTCATTTGCTTTATTTTCTTCCTCTTATTATGGCTGCATTTGCTGAATGTATTTTATTTTAGCTTCATAAAAAAAAAAAAAAAGAACTATCAGGTAAATAGAATTTGGCACCATCTGCTTGGAACTTAGTCATGATGTATTGGCGCCTTTTCCTAAATGACAAAAATTTGGAAATGCTAAGTGCACATTGAAAGCAATATTGCAGTAATTTAATACACAGGTGTCTAAGGCATCGCTGGCAAGATGGACACGAGAATTTAAAAGCTGAATGTAACTGCCTCAGGCTTTAGGAAATTAAAGAACCCCAGTGAGAGAAGAGGTTCCTCCAGGTTTCTGGCTCTTCATTTGTAATCCATGTAAAGTATCTCCGAGTATCTGTATAGAGCACAGTATTTGTTAAATACGTCTGGAATTTTAGAATTAATCTAAGTGAACAGGTTTTTGTCATGCCCATGTAGGCCTGGCAGCTCTCTTCATAAGAGAAAACACTGTTTTCAAATTCAAATGCTGCAGAAAGATACGACTGATAATTTTGGCATCAAGGTGAGAGGCTGTTGGGGGTTGTGTTTTCAAGTATGGATTCTGGAATTTGACAGAACTCTCTTCAGATATTTATTCCATCATTTCCTTGGTATGTATTCTACAATGAATTAAACCCTCTTAAGCCTCAAGGTTCAGTTTCTATACCTGTAAAATGGACATATTAGTAGGAACTATTTCAGTTATTGATTACCGTGAAACAAAGTACCCCAAATTTTTGCTTTATGTGGTGGTATCAGCTTAGGCGCTATAAAGTTTGGGGTCATTCGGAGGCTAGACTGGGGATGCAGAGCTGGGGACCGGGGGGCCCAGGTTGTCCTCCATGTGGCTGCTTGGACTACCTCATTGTGTGGCATCTGAGTTCCTAAAAGGAAAATTCCAAAAGGAGCATTCATTCCCAAAAGGAGAAAGTGAAAATGTTTAGGCGAGTTAAGGGGTAGGCCCAGAATTGGCAGCATCATTTCCACTGCATTCTATTCATTGAGTGTGGAGATTAAATAAAATAAAATTTAAGTACTTTATACAGATTTGGCTTATATTAATAATAAGCCTTTATTTGGTTTTTGCTATTGTTGATATTATACCAGTATACAATTATAATGAAGATTACAGGAGTTGATATTAGGAAATCTAGATTAAAATTTGAGAGAATGAAACATATATAGGCAAGGGTCTTTAAAGGTTATCTTGTCAACTTAACTGATTTTATAGTTTTATAAAACTAAGCCCCAAAGAGGGGCATGACTTTCTCAACGTCACACAGTTCATGACAGAGTCAAAACTTAGAGCAGGCAAGTTTCTTCTCCTCTCTGGCGCCTCACTTCCTCCATCTGTAAAATGGGGATAATAATAGTACTTTCCTTAAAGAGTTGTTGTAAGGATTTAGTGAGTTGATGCATGCAAACTGCCTGGAACAATGTTTCAAATGTAGTACATGCTCAATAACTGTTTGATACCATTTAAAATTATTCTTATCTCTATTATTATTTTCATCATCATTACTCCATGCTGTTAAAGGAGTTGTTTGAGCACATCTCATTTGGATTGACGTTATTCTGGGTTTGGGGTTCAAGCTGAATTTTCTGCAATGTCCTCCCAAAGTAGGAGTTTGACATTAATTAAGGATAAAATCAATTTTCTACACTCAGCACCCCTGCAAGTTTTGTATCCTTTCTTTCGTACTTGTGAAGAGGCAACAAGCTGTACAGTGCACTCAAGGGCTGCTAACTCATAATGAGGCTGGTTTGAGTACTTCCTGCAGCCATGAGACAAAAACCATCTCTATGACCTTAAAAACCATCTGTATACCAGCAACCTCTATGTCATAGATGCAGTCTATAATTAAATAATAGGCATAACTCTTTGGATGTCTAAGAGTCATCTAAACAAAATTGAACTGATTTTTCCACTAAAACTCATTTACGGCTGAGTAGTACTCCATGGTATGCATATACCACATTTTATTAATACACTCATGAAATGAGGGTTACTTGGGTTGATTCCACATCTTTGCAAATGTGAATTGTGCTGCAATAAACATTTGAGTGCATATGTTATTTTTTTATAAAATGACTTTTTTTTCTTTTGGGCTCACTTATAACTTTGTCTCAAGCAGTACAATAACAATCCATGTAACCAAAACACTTGTAATATTCTGAAATTAAAAAAAAAACTGATCAGCTTCTCCCATTTCATTTGATGACAATTCTATCTTTCCATTTGCTCAAGATAAAAGGTTAGAGGCCAAAGGTTAGGGTTATAGTTGACTCCCCACTTTCTCTCATATTCTGCATCCAGTATTTTGAAGACATATTGGCTCTATCTCTAAAATATTCTCAGACTTTCAATAATTCTCACCACCTTTACAAACACCACCTCACCACCTGACCTCCTCCCATATCATCATCTCTCTCCAGGATTTCTGCAGTAGCTTCCCAACTACTTACCTCTTTTGCCTCTTGCTGCCCCAAAACTTATTCTCAACACAGTAGCTATGGATATTCTTTTAAAATGTAAGTCAGATCTTTTCACATCCCTACTCAAACTGTATAGCTCCCCAAACTACCTTTTCCTCTCTCTCCGTTTTGCAACTTCCTCTCCTATTGGGCTTCCTCTCATTGCTCACTTCTTTCCAGCCACACCACCTTCCTTGCTGTTTGGCAAACACACCAGGGGTACTCCATCCTTGGTGCCTTTGCTTAACTGATCCCTCCACTTGAAACGTTCTCCCACCAAATATCCACTTAGATAACTCCCTCAATTTCTCTCTTCAAGACTTTGCTTAAATCTTATTTTCTTAATGCTATCTATCTTGTCCATAATCTCTTATAATGCAGTCTGTTTCTAATCCACTCTGTTCCACATTTTCTATCTGCCTTTTCTGTTCTACCATTTTTTGTGCCATAGCAAGGGAAGCTGCCTCTGAGGCTGTCATGTCTCTGGGTGATGTCATCCCACTCGCATGGTTTCCATGCAAGGTCTGCATAATGACTTGGCTAATGATTCATTCTAGATTCTCTCTCCCTCCCTCCCTCTCTCTCTCTCACACACGCTTTCTCTCTCTCTCTCTGCTATACCCAACTTTAATATACAGCTCCCTATGTGATATTCCCATGTGATGTCTCAAAGAAATATGAAAGTCCACAGGTTGAAATGCGAATTCTTTATTCACTGTATCCTCTTTCTTCTCCTGTGCAAACTATCTCAGTGGATGGAACCCTCATTCATTGAATTGTTCAATTAGGAAACAATTGAGGTATAATATTATTAATCATATTGATACCTTAGAGTAATTGGAATTAGTAATAAACACAGAAGCAAACCGATACTGTTTTTCTGTCACTGTTTTGGTCAAAGAACATGCAAACATTTGGATTTAACAATGGCTGCTAAGAAGATGCAAGATAACGAGCTAAAGTTGTAGGGAAAAGGTGTAATTTTAGTGATGGCCCATCAAATCTTATTTAGGTAAGGAGAAAATTGAGGACATAAGGAGGTAATGGATAATAAAAATAAGTGTTGAATAACTAGATTAGAAGTTGTGATTGGTGTAGTTAAATAATAGCTAGAATTGAGATACCAAAGTTAGTGAGCTGGAAATATAGGCAAGTTTGGAATTTTGATTTTGGAGTGGTACAGTCATTAGTAAAATAAGATACAGGTTATAAACACGGGAATGGGTGGCAGAGATGTCATGGAAGACAAGAAAATTGGAGGTGAGGAAGTGAATAATGAAAAGGCCAGAGCCTTGAATATACTATCTTTGAGGTTATTGATGTCACCAGGGAGAGGACATCATGTTAGTGGGGAGGAAGATAGTAAACTGGGTGCTATCTTTCAGTGGCTCTGAGGTAGTGGCTGGGATGCAGTGGATAAAATTCAGACTTCCATAAACTAAGAAATCATCCTGAACTCTTAAATCTGGTCACTTTCCAAAACGTATTGATTTCCCTCCAGAATATCTCTAGAATCCAGTCATTTCTCTCTACCTTCTCTGCTCAGACCCAAAGAGGGGCATGACTTCCTCAGTATCACACAGTTCATGGCAGAGAAGGTAGAGAGAGATGTGAATTGATGCATGCATTCTCTGCTTTTGCCTTGGTTCATACTCATGTAATTTCAAACTCAGGTTATTACTACAGTCTCTTAATTGGTCTTCTGAGCCTCTAAGAGTTTTTTTTTTGTTTCAATGTGAGATAATCCAATAAAATAATAAGTGAATAAATGACAAATTTCTTAGTTGGAGATAATACAATGTAGTGAACACTATTGGTTGTCTATGCAGAATCCATTGCCACCTTCTTTAATTTTGTTTTAATTTTGTTCAGGTATCCATCCTACACTTGTGTGCCTAAGGGAAAGCTGAAACCATTCCTTGACCAGAGAATTCCAGACTTGGCTAAGGGCAGTGTTTCTCAAAAAGGGTCTCTAACAAGACATTTCAGGTGATTGCATTCTCCTTTGTTCAGGGTTGTCAATACGTTGTTGGATATTTAGAAGCCTAGATATTCTCTGCTAAACATCAGTAGAGTCATTCAGTCGTTGTGACAACTCAAATGTCCCTTAGTATTATTGTCTACTTTGTGAACCACAAATCTAAGCATTCAGAGTAGGTATATGATCCAATTCTGACAGTTAAGAAGTAAACTGAAACAGGATCCACTCCTCTCACTTCTCACAAAAATCAACTCATGATGGATAATAGACTTAAACCTAAGGCATGAAACTATAAGAATTCTAGAAGAGACATTGGCCTAGGCAAAGAATTTATGAAGAAGATCCCAAAAGCAATCACAGCATCAACAAAAATAAATAAATGGGATCTGATCAAATTGAAAAGCTCCTGCATAGCCAAATAAACTATCACTGGAGTGAATAAACAACCTATAGAATGGGAGAAAATGTATGCATGCTACACATCCGATAAAGGGCTGACAACTAGAATCTATAAAGAACTTGGAAAAATCAACAAGAAAAAATCAAATAACACTGTTAAAAAGTGAGCAAAGGACATGAACAGAAAGTTTTCAAAAGAAGACAGACTAATGTCCAACAAACATAAGAAAACATGCTCAACATCTCTTATCATCAGGGAAATGCAAATCAAAACCGCAATGAGATATTATTTAACTCCAGTGAGAATGGCTTTTATCCAAAAGCCCCAAAACCATAAATGTTGGCATGGACCTGGAGAGAGAGGAACGCATACACTGCTGGTGGGACTGCAAACTTGTATGACCTCTATGGAAAGGAGTATGGAGATACCTTAAAGAACTAAAAATAGAACTACCATTTGATCCAGCAATCCCACTACTGGGTATTTACCCAAAGGAAAAAAAGACATTCTATAAAAAGACATCTGCACTGGAATGTTTATGGCAGTACAATTCACAATTGCAAAGATATAGACACAGCCCCAGTGTCCATCAATACACAAGAGGATTAATAAAATGTGGTATATGTATACCATGGAGTACTACTCAGCCATAAAAATTGGTGAACCACCTATTGTATCTATTATCCTATTATCTAGTATCACAAGAATGGAAAAACAAATACCACATGTACTCACCATTAATTGGTACTAATTGATCAACACTAATGTGCACATATGGGAAGTAACATTCGTAGGGTGTCTGGCAGGTTGGAGGCGGGAGGAAGGGATGGGTAAGTCCACACCGAATGGATGCAGTGCACACCACTCTCTGGGGGTTGGGCATGGTTGTTGCATGGTGCAAAGGCAATTTATATAACCAAAGCGTTTGTACCCCTGTAATTCTCTGAAATAAAAACAAAAATTAAAAAGTAAATGGATAAACAAATGTGTTACAGCCAAAAAAAAAAAAGAAGCAAAGAAAATTCTATTGGGAAACAGCTAGGAAAATTTCTCCACATTGTCAAGAAGCCTGCAATAAGATGTGCCCTTTCCTCTGGATTATGTCGTGTCAATATCATCACCTTGAACTGCTGTCTTCCTACTGCCCTAGGGGTAAAACTACCCCCAAGAATGTTTGACTGGAGCAACAGCAAAATCCTGCGTCCTTGAGTTGCTAATCAAATGACCCTGAGGTCCATACTATCTTGGAATTTCCTTTTATGTCAGAGAACAGGATTCTTAGCATTTAAACAAGTTTGAGTTGGGATTTCTGTTACTTGTAGCTGAAAGCACCCTAAATAATCTATACAGTATACTTGGTCCCTAAACCTACCAGGAAAAAACAGGAATTTTCAACCACATAGCACGTTGTTTTTGAGGGCTAAAACCAAATTTGTATTATAAGGCATTTTTCTCTTTCCTCCTAACCTATTCAGAGAATTGCCTTAAAAGCAGAGAAAAGTCATCTGGAAAAAATAGCATGCAGCTTTGTTGGCTCAACCAAATATATATTGATTTCTTTGCTAGAGGAACGGAAAAATAAGCTTATGTCTCCTACAGCTTATTGATAGTCTCAGTCTTCTCCTATTTCTAGATTGATTCATTATCTTCACTATCCTTTCTCCCATTTTTTTTTAAATGGAAGGAGCTTTTTTTTTGGGGGGGGGGGACAACTGGACTCCAGGACCAACTAATGGATCAACTTCAACTTTTTAGGGGACACATTCAATAGAATAAGTCAAAAGGACTTTTGGTTATAACTGGAAGAACAATTTCTTTCCAGAGAAAGAGTTCTCTGCATCTATAAGCAGAAGGAAGGAAGCACTAACTAGTCTTCATGGCTAATTTTACAGGTTTGCCTTTGAATCACTAGCCACAAGTAAGAACAGCTGTACGTAAGAAACCAGGGAGAAAGGTAAGGAGAGAAACTTGGCAAAGGACTTTTGCAAGGTCAGTTTTTTTTTTTTTTCCCCCGAGTAATTCAAGGTGTAACTTACTTGAAAGCACTGATTATAAAGCTAACACGTTGTTTCAGAACTTGTGCAGAAATAGAAAATGCATCTCTTTGATGTTTTCCTTTCGGACAAGCCTTCATCTAGTAGATCACAGTGGACGAGGGTTTTAGTTCTCCCCCTTGAAGCTGTCCCTGGAAGAGGATAGGAAATTGGGATACAAACTTCTTCCTGGAACATGTAGATGAGAGAAAAATCTACATTCCTTTGAAGATTGTTTGGATATTCATCACGCATGCCTCGTATATAGTCACTCTGTTTTAGCAGCACTTAGACAACTGAAATTGCCTGGCAGTGATAGGAGTTAGGGGGATATAGACAGAAGGTGGCTTGGATGTCAGGGATGAGAGGTTCAGGGGGATACTGGAGGGCCTAAAATTGTCCTCCAACTGTCTTGACTACCATCACTCTCTCTCCAACCTCTCACACAAAGAAAGGGCTTCCTGTGAGCCTACTCTACTTTTAAGCAGCCCCCTGTCTATACAAGATCTATGGATAACAGAAACAGACCACACAATATTCCCCTACTATGGTATGGCAGCCTTCTTAGCTTTTCTCAGCTTGCTTTGATATTTATCTGAGTAGGAATTAAAAGTTCTTTAGGTTGTTTTTTGTAAAAATAATTTAGTATCTCCTTTTATTCTCCCATGGGTTAACATTATACATTGTCTCTGGTAAAAACTTGTAGTGGCCATTTGTCTTTTTCTTCTCTCTTTCTCTCTCCTTCTCTGTCTCTATCTCTCTGTCTGTCTGTCTGTCTGTCTCTGTTTCTGATTGCCCTGCATTTCATTCTTCTACCTGTGATTAAAAGATTTCTGAGCCCTCTTGTCACTGTAGAAACCTAAAATTAGAGATCATAGCCTCCTATTCAGTCTTTTAGAAAGGACTCAGGCATATGGATTTAACAACCAGATGAACTTGCCCAAGACTTGAATCTAGAGGTAGTTACAAAAAGAAAGTGGGAGAGGAGAATTTCTTCTACTGTCCATTGGTATCCTTTTCCCAGGGCACTCCCACCAGCCGTGGCATGCTGCATCTTATTCTATGAGGACAGGGGCTATTTAAGGTGAGGTATCCAGTACTGGACTGCAATTGCTGCCATGCTCATAGGACTGGTTTTGCAGCATGTTTTGGTCTATGAACCTGGCTGCCTACCTTATCTTATTTCTGCCTGTTTTCTGAATGTGATTTTTAAAGTTGCTGTGCTCAGGTGTTTATTTAGCACAATCTTCTGCATTTTTAAAATGTGCCTTATGATCCATCAAAGTTGATATATTTATTCCTAGCTTATTATTATGTGAAGAATGTTTAAATCAGTGGTTCTCAACTGGGCATGATTTTTATCCCATGGGAAGACATTCGGCAATGTCTGGAGATATTTTGGTTACTGTTTTCACAGCAAAGAGGTTGCTACTGACATTGAGTGGGAGGAGGGGGGACACAGGCAGCCCCCTACAAAAGAAAACTACCCCAAAGTTTAATTGTGCAGAGGCTGTTTTAAAGCCAGACATCTGCGGGCTTTTATTCCTGGCCTAGTTATTTACCAGTTGTGTGACCTTGGACAAGACATTTAAACTCTATGAACCTTGGGCAAGATATTTAACCTCTACATGCAATTTCCACATTTATGAAATGGAGAGGATGACTGTTAGAATCAAATGGAAATATATAGAAAATGCCAAGCCTTTACATAGCAGGTGTGCAATGAGTGTTGGTTGCTTGCTTTCTTCTGTCTTTCCTTCTTGGTCTTTTTCTATGTTACAGAAAGGAGTTTGGAAGTTATTTTAAACTTTTTTCTCACCAGGATCCTTCTTGCTATTTTAATCTTACCATCTTTTGTAACTCAGTTTCACTTTTTCAAGCATCCCCAGAAACAGTCTTCTTTTATCAGCTCCCTATAAATTGTCAAGCAGCACAGATAGTGCATAACTTAGTTTTACATTTCATTATTCAATTTTACATGTGTACATCTCCCACTTAAAGCCACTTAAAGAGTGGGGCTTATATCTTATGATACCATTAGGACTAACACTATCAATGGCACATAGTAGGTGTTGCTAAATGTTTGCTGATAATTCTATCGAATAAGAGATTTCTTCCGCCAGCTCTAAATGTAGGTATGACTGCTCCACTGTGCAACTGTTCTGGCAAAGGGCAACTCTTTTGAAGGTATTTCCTATATATTACCACTTTCCTTTCACTTTATACTCCCTTCTGCCAAATTCCACTTTCAAAGTATCACTTCGTCATACTTTTTTTGGATAATTAACTTAAAAACTAAGCCAAATTTATAAAATGGGATGGAGTTGCTATTTCTTGCCTTCCTTTTTGCAAAGCCAGGTCACTATCCTTCCAGATGTGATGTGCTCATTTTTATCGATGGTTTCCTGTTGTTTTGTCTAAGTACTGATCCTGATGGAGGTGCTTGTAGGCCAAAGGAAGGAAGGTGGGTGGGGCCATGGTCAGTTTGTATCATCGATGGCCATTGGGCTCTCTTGGGGGAGCTCCAAGTAAGTTATAACTACAGTTGAATTTACCTACTACTTCTCCCTACCACTTCCTCCACTCCTCAGTTCCAATCTGCAACTCAAGTTCTTCTGATTTGCCTCTTGAATATATAATTCCCAAATCTGTATCTGTCTCTGTCTATTTTATTATCTATCTATCTACCTACCTACCTATCAGCTATCTTTAAAATCCCTCAATGAAGTTTCACATTTTTTTCAGTGGAGAATTGGGGAATAAAGTTAAATCTCCTTCTAGCAGGATTTCCCAAATTGCTCCTGGATTATCTACCCAACTCTATTTATAACAATTTCCCATCTCATACCTTTCCCTCTAGAGACACTATACTTTTTATATTGTGCCTCCCACATACACAATATGCATACATATACACACACATACTTCATGCTGTTACAAGATAGTGCTTTTGCTCATGCTATTTCTTCCCCCTTGAATATCTTTCCAACTCTTCTGTTCTCAACTCTTCCCTGCTTTTTCCTATGCTATATGCTCTATAACCATCTCTACCATAGACTTAACTAAGCAGTGCTTCTGTACTGAAATTATTTTTCCATGGTATTAAAATGAACTATTATAAAATCTGTCTTCCCTTCTAGACTGTAATGTCATTGAAGACTCTAAATTCACCAGTGACCAGGGAAAAACTCAACCAGTTTATTGAGTGAAACTGAATGTGCAGTGAAAACCAGTGACCTGTTGGCTGTATGTTCATCCTGCAATAGGCTCTTTGGCCTAACTTCAAATGGGCAAAGAAGATGTGTTGTCAATGATTGCTTGGAATACAGTACAGAAGAAATCTAATGTCATGATTGAGTAGTGATGTCTGCCTTGGGCAAAAGTGTAAGTAGCATGTTTGTCAATGAATGCCCCAAATCTGTAGATTTCAGACCCAAGCCTCTTTGAAAACTTTGCACAGTTTTGTCCAGCTGAAATCTTTGAGAGCGCTTTCTCTTTTTTTGTAACTGGTTTCTCAGCCATCACTGTTGTGACATAAGTGTAGAAGTTGTATTAGTGGAAACTTTCTTTTTGCAGTCAAAGGTATCATGTTTTGTTTCTCTGGCCTGGAATTCTTTTAAAAACCAAAGCTCAGGCATTCAACACTTATTCTCAGAAGCTTATGGGAGAGTTATCTTTAGAGACTTAGCTTTGTGTTTTAAGGCTAGGCATTTGTAACTATAGGATGATCTTGAACCTCAGGTGCTTGAGACTCCACAACAGACCAGAGGATAAAAACAACTAGCTCCACTGTGGGTTTGTGCCTACCTTTTTTGTCCTTACCCTGCAAAGTCTTAAAGGGGCTAGCCTCTACCTCTACTATCTTCTCACTATTCAGACCTGCTTGAGTAGACTAATTTATCAGCAGACAGATAGAAAACTAGAGCAAGTTGTTTCATATCTAGTATGAAAAGGGATGACTATTTTCCTATCTTTGTTTACAGTTCTATGGTAAATTCACACCCAATGGGTATGATGCACACTATCTGGATGATAGATACACTTATAACTTTGATTCGAATAGTGCAAAAGCAATTTATGTAACCAAAACTTTTGTACCCCCATAAAATTCTGACATAAATATACATATATGTTTTTATAAAAATGAAAATTGATGTAAATTAGTAGGCTATGTTCCAAAATTCTAACGGAATGGACAGAAATAAAAGGAACATGATTACTCAGGCTACTGGTGCTACGTTCAAGTGCAATATTCAAAACCATGAGAAAGGATATGGCTTCAACCTAAAAAGACCAGACATTGGCCAATGAATCTGTTTTTCCCACCTAGGGAAGCATGCATTCAGAAATGGAAGACTCTTGAACAAATGAAAAGATTCACTCATCAGTCACGCATGGGAACCGTGGGAACACTACAAAATAGGGGATATAAAGGGAAATGAAGCAATTTCTGAACTCACAGCACTTGTAATTTAATGAGGGAGTTAAGACATGTACATAATAATTGTAAATCAGGCTGGAGTGTTTATTATACTAGCACTGCAAGTAAAATTCTGAGAGAGCATAGTTAATGGAGACTGTGGATGCCTCTAGAAGGAAGCATCTATCTAATCTTCAATAGGAAAGGGATTGGATAAATGGAATTCTACATTGAATAAATCTTAGAGAAGCATATAGAGGATTTTAGGTCAGTTCTTAGACTGCTTCCCATGTGCTAAGTACTGTGCTAGGTGCTAGAGATAAACAGAAGAGAGTAAAACATAGTTCCTGGAATTTTCAATATAATGGTGGAGAAGTCCATAGCAATTTATGGAGAATTTATGGAGAATATTTGGCTCAAATATTGATACAAAAATGAGTAATGGAAAAATAGAGTATGATTAGGTAATAAAAAGCCTCAAATGAAAAACTGAGGAGTTGAGTTTGTCTGATTCTTTTTTGTGAATTAAAGGTTTTGGGGAACGGAAGTGACACGATATTTCTGTTTTAATTGCATGGTATCTTTAACTTTACTTGAAATTTTAAAATGAGAACTATTTAAACATTTAAAAGTATACTAAAGTAGCCTTATTTTGGATCCTATCAATCTTTTCACAATTCCACCATGGTTTGGACAAAACTTTACTTTTTTATTATCTGTAAGGAAAGGATTTGGTTTTCTAAATGAATAAACAGCATTGTTGAGATTCTTAGAGAAATGTTTTCATTTCCAACTGGTTTTAGGCACTTAAAACATTTGTTTGCATGCCCGTAGCATATGTGCTCCTGGATAGTATATGTAGTATATGTGCTTCATTAATGCGGGGTTAAAGTTTACTATAATATTTCCCATAATCCAGGTTATTAACTATTTGACACCATCATTTCAGCAAAAAAATTTATTTTGTTTGTTGGGTTTTTTTTTTGCCCATTCCCTTTTGGGTTTGGCCCTTTTTTTGATTTTGGTTCCGTTTTGGGGTTAGGTTTTTAGGAAAAAATTCCCATTCTTTCATGGAAAAGCCCACATATTTACCATATATAAGACTTCTCCAACTACCTTTTAAAAGAAGTTTTATTTTATTTTTGATTGACAAATAATAATTGTATATATTTATGGGGTGCAATGTGAAGATTTGGTATATGTATACATTGTGGAATGGTCAAATCAGGGTAATTAGCATATTCATCACCATCACCTCAAATATTTATCATGTCTTTGTGGTAAGAACTTTCAAAATCCTCTCCCTTAGCTATTTTGAAATATACAATGCATTTGACAGTCACAGTCATCAGTACTATGGGTTTTGGGCTCAATGCAATCAATATCGTCTCCTGGAAATAAAACCCTTTCCTAATCAAAAAGAAATCTCAATATCCTACCATTCTATGCTACAGTCCTAAAGATCAAACATGCCACTATCACATATAAAATTAGTATCTTACAATGACCCAGTGAAATAGTTTACATCCTTGCTAATATACAAGCATCTTGAGGACAGGAATTATGTCTTACTCATCCTTGTAACTCCAAAGTCTAGCTTGCTATTTGGAATGAGATAGATGCTTAAAAAGCAACGATACAAATTGAATTCACAAATGACCAGAATCTCTAATAAACTCACTGGGCAGTTTCCACCAACCAAGACAGAAGTAATCTCCTAACTTAGATCTTAACTCACATTCCCAGAAGAATAATGCTGTTATTCTCATTATTTTACATGTGCAAACCACCACAGTGAATAGATATAAAATCTTGAAAAAAATTTACTGACATTTCTTGTTCTTAATATGAATATAAATTTCCAAAACCCTTTTCCAAGATAACGAATCCAATTTCTCATTCTACCCCTTAGGGCAATACTTTAGTGGTTGGAAAGATACTAAGAGATGCACTCCATGTAAAATTATGGCTCTCAATAAATTGTTGGTATAATAAGTGATAATAACTGGTAATAATTGGTACTATCTGTTAATCTACTAATAATTGGTAGCAGTGAGCATACTAAATAAAATTCATCCTCCAAGGTTTGGCTTCATGGTCTTTGGGCCTGATTATGATCACTTTCCAAAGAAATGCATGAAGTTCTTTAAATAGTAAAATATTTGAGAAGTGAATTTGATAGAAAATTCAACAACAAATCAACAGATATTGAGCAGCTACTCTGTACTTAATTGCTAGAGGCTCATAAGAGAAGTTCATAAATGATATTGAGGTGAGAAGCCACTATAAAAAGAACAAAAAAGGTCAATGCCTCTCTTAACTTATCCATTTGTCCTACAGTATTCTTTTACCCACAGGAGAGTGCTTTACAATGGTTCATATTTTGGAGAGCCCTATGATAGATAGTTCTGATGAGATTCTCCATTTCCTTTGTAATTTTCTTTTGTGATTTTGATGATTTTAAGTAGAGGAGGAGTTGTTCATCTTCTCTGTATTTGCTGTGAAGGACATATATAATTTGATGCATGGATGTGCTCCATGGGAGGACATGAATTATTAAGTGCCAAGCCTGGCACCAAGCCAAGGGGCACTGAACAGCAACTGAGGCTCTCAAAGACTGACTTCCTGAGGCTGCATGTTGTGATGTTTCAATGATGTAGGGGATTGAGTCACCATATGTGAACATTGTGAGTATAAACCCCAATGTTCACCACCTCCACTATCATCACCATCATTCATGGTCTTTGATAAAGACTATGAATAAACATTCACGTTATAGAAAACATAAAGGCAGAATCGAGCAAACTATGTAGTCAAATGGAAAAGTTTGACTTCCTTCTTCAATTAACTGCCAGGGATTTGATGTTACCTTAAAACAGATTAGACCATGTATCCAGTTTTCTGAATTAAGACTTTGCATTTTTTTCCTGTGCATCTAGATAGTTTTAAAGTTTATCCTTGATAATTCCCCACATTCTTTTTGAGTATAGCCTTTTAAAGCACCTAATCAGACTCACAGTGGTCCCTTGGTATATAAAAATTAGGCCTTTGGAATTGTTAAAAAATGATTTACTGATTTTGATTCTAACAAGTTTAAAATAGTCTAGCATTTCTGAAGGTACATCGTGTTTTGTGTGTCATACAGGGTATATAATTTTGGAAAAGACAGACATCAGATGACTACTCCCTCCTTCCCCCATCCTCAGACCCTGCCACCATGCAGCTAGCAAGGAGGAAGAAGAGGTTTCTGAGATCTATATAAACTGGATCCAAATGTATTCCTTTGATATGAGCTTGAAATGTTACATTGCTCTTTCTCTTGATGAGTCCCTTGGCTTCACACGGGTAACATTTTTCTTTTGATACTTTACACTGGCATTTTAACAATGATGATGGGAAGTTGCTAAACTAGAAAAGGATTGTGAATGCTACAATTCCTAGGATACTGTCACCCATTACTGCTCCCGTGAGAGATCCTCTACTCCATTATTAACTATTTTTCACAGTAGGTGAAGCTGCTGCTAAGTGATTAATAAGTTTGGTGCATTCATTGAAACACATTTTACTAGTGAGCCAGGGCAAATCTCAGACTTGGATTTTGCTTTGAGGACATAGATTTAAGAGAGCAGAAAACCTCATTTAGCTTTGCAAGCCTAAGTTAATGTTCTAGCAATGCATACCATAGAGCATCCACGGGGGATGGACAGAGGACTGTTTATTGTGTATTTGCTCAGTCATTGAGAAACTGGTATTGTTGTTCTAGTATTTATCACTCCATTAGCAAAAGCAGAGAGGAGAGAGGTATAACAGGCAAGTGTAATAAACTAAAATTCTGACAGCAAAATAACCCCTGGAGAGGGGTTATATTTGAACAGTTATTCATTCTTATTCCTTTAAAGTATGATAGCAATAATGTTTTGTTAACCCTTGTGATGCCAGCCAGCATTCTGAGTTCTGTAAAGTTTCCTAAGATTCAGAAATCCAGTCTAGTTTTTTCCTTCATATTGTTACCTCATAACCCTCAGAGGGTTGGTTCTCCTCTGGCAAACACTCAAGTATGTAAACATGAATAGAATAAGGCTCATGTTTAGGGTACATTTATAGTCTATTTAGGGAAAGAAGACAAAGCTATATAGTCTTTGTGGACTGGGGCAGGGAAGAAGGGACTGATTCACAGAGGAGGAAGAATAATTGATAGAATTCAACTAGGCAACTCATAAACTGTACAGCCACTTAGGAAAACAAGTTGGAAAAATCTATTAAAATTATATATGGGCATAATTCTCCATCCAGCAGTAGCCCTTCTTAGAGTCTATCCTGGGAAACACTCACATGCTCCCAATCCAGCATGCCCAACAACGTTCATTGCAGCAGAGGCTGTAACCATGCAAACTGGCTGAAATGAGTGGATGTCTAAGGGAATGACTACATAGTTAAACCAAGACTTGGCCACACTACAGAATCCTCTGCAGGTATAAAAAAGTATTCAGATCCCTCTATACTGAAAATGTGAAAAGACACCCAAGAGACAGTGTTACATAGTCAAGATCATATGCAATATGGTACCACCTAAAACACACAGAACAACATCATGCAAAAACATAGAAAGAATGGGCAGAGCCTCACCAAATTGTTGGCAACAGATCCTTTCAGGTATAAACCTAAGATTGGGCATATGTTTAAATGGGACATAAGACTTAGCTGTATATATACTTATATTACTCATATAATTAAAATTTTATAAAAAACTGTTTTTTAAAATAAAGAATCCAAGTAGACAGAAGACGCTGGGGAGGAGGCAGCAAGATACCTGAGAGATTATGCTCATGTGTATGCAACCTCCAAACTCATCTCTGACTCCTCATCATCCACCCTTCTAGTCAGGCTCCTTCAAGTGTTGCTACTGAAATGCAGACATGATCGGGTTACTCTACTGCTTTATGCAATTAAGTCCAAACTTCTTATCATTTCATCTAAGGGCCTCCAAAATCTCACGTTGCTGTTCCTCTTCGGATTCACCTCTCTCAACTTCCTTTCCTGTATCCTCAACTGCAGCTGGACCAAATCACTTGCAGTTTTTGCCTGCACCATCCTATTTGCACTTCTATCCCCTTGCCCATGCTGGTGGACAGGTCCTCTCTGCTTTGGACACCTGGTAATCCTCAAGGCTGTCAAGTCCTGGGTGAAGATTTTCTTGAGAGCATCACCTCTGTTACCGTGAATTTCCGTCTCTTTCTTTGGGCCTGCACTATAGACTGTACATACTTCAATCACCTACATCACTCTGTTGGACTTATTTTTTTCTTGCCTGGGACACTTTAAATTATAAGTAGGGATTACATGCAGTAAAAATTCATTTATTCACTCACTGTTTTATTCAACGTACAATTGAGTGCCTGCTACATTCCAGGCATTGTGTTGGGTGCTGGAGAAGACAAAATTGAATAAAACATGCTCCTTAATCTCAAGGATCTTATCATATAGGGGTAAAGGAAGAAATGGATGGAAAGGTAAGAAAAAATCAAGATATTATCAATATTATACCATGGGAGCACAAAAACTTCAGAAAAAAAAGTTCATGGTGGACATTTGATGTTGCTTTGGCTGGTCACTTCCCCCACTCCCATTTCCTGACAGTGCTCTGACTTTCTTTTGTGGAATGTCCTCACCCAGATTGTGCCTGGGTTGCCCCGGCCCAGCAGCAAGTATATGACCCAAGCAAGGCCAGACACCACCTCCCCTTCTGTCATTATAATCTTGAGTAGCAGCACATGAGGACAAAAGTTTTGGCTGCTTCCAAGGCAGCAGCATCCCCAGGCTAAGGTAGTTCCTGAAAGTGTCCTATCTCTTGTCTTGCTTCCAATCCCAACCACCTGCCTTCTCTCCACTCTGTGAGGTATCATGGATACAATCATAGTTCCTGTTTTGCTGTAATGTCCAGCAGTTTCTGTCATCTGCAACCATAACTCTAACTGATACCCTGGGTGAGCAGTAGCTAATGCCTGAATATGACATTAGGATTGGGCAGATATATAAATGGGACATAAGAGGGTTCAAAGCCTGGATAATGACATTAGGGTTCCATATAGGAGGTCACTGATGACTTCTTTTCTAAGACGCAATTCAGGTTTTGGGTTGGGCCAAAGCCTGATTACGGGGGTGCAGCCAGCTGGTGGGTGATACGAACAGAGTTACTTACTTTTCCTACCCTGCCTCACTGATCTTTCTCTTGTATTATTTGCATCCTTGAAGACTCCAATAAATAAGGAGGTAAAAAATTTGAAGGAGCTAATTTCTCCATAGGCTGAATGGGTGGGCCTATCGGTAACTGTCCAAAGGCCCCTAGTATATGTCCTTTTACAAATATGACCAACCTGGGGTCAGCCAGCTTGCTTTGGAAGCCCCTTGTAGGTACCGAATGTCTCTGGAATTTGTCTTACCTGTGCAAGTACTTCTTTTTAAATCAGCTAGTTTATTCACTTCGGCTTGTTTTGGGAACCAATCAATTATTAATAAGGCTTTGAAATACCTCGTGAATTTGACAAGATGGGAGAAGTCTGGCTCCCTGGTTGACTTTATGGAACAAAACTCTCCCCAGCACCCACTCTAAACATACACAGAAGGGCTTGAGTCAGCCATCCAGTCTTGCATGTCCCTTGTTTGCACTTGTGCCTGAGAGTAGAACAGCGGTAGGGGCTATATATAAAGAAGTATGGGTTTAATTGAGACTAAATTGACACTTAAAAAAAACCCATAAATTAATCACTCTGTTCCTTATTGAGTGTGGATGATCAGTGATAATGAAAACACTTTGTTCTGCCTGGCGAGCTCCCTCCCAGCTGTCTGTCTCAGAGTTGACCCATCAAGGCCTGTCTCAAACGTTTCCTTCTCTAGGAAACATTTCCCAGTGCTACCACCAGAAAAGTGGACTTCCCCCACCCCAGCACACACACTCCCTCCACTGAATTGTCAAAGCACTCGTACAGTGTTGAGCTTAAGAGCTTTGACTTTGGATGCAGAAGGACCTAGATTCAAATCGCTGGCTCTGCTCCTGCTGGCTGTGCTGCATGCCCTTGGGAAAGCTCTTTACCTCTCTGAATCTCATTTTTATATTCTGCAAATTGGGTGTAATAATTAGCTCATAGCGTATATTTTGAGGACTAAATGAAGAAAACAAACGTGAAAGGCATACTAGTGTTGGGCATGTAGCAATTAAATTGTTGATGGTTATTTTTAATGATTATTATTTATGTATTCATAATTAATGGTATTTATCATACTCTGTTTAGCACTTATCAAAGTCTATAATATTTTTGTACACCAGGAAAACATAGAAAGCTTCATTCTTGTGTATTTTGTTTATCTTTGTATCTCTAGTGGGGCTGTAGAATAAGTTTTTACTATCGGTGTTATTCTATTAGTTCATTTTAATGTTATCACTGTTCTATACCATGAGGTCAAAGTTATTCATTTATTCATGTTGAGCATGAATTCTGAGCACAGTATTTAAAAGTGCATAGAAGCTCAACATCCTTTATGGAATGAATGAATAAAGAAACTAAAGATACATTGTCTCAACTGTCCTTTTAAATAGAAACTTCCTTGATGAAAGAGACTGTGTGGTTTTTCTCTGTATCCATGGAACCTAATAGGTGTCTGGTAAACATTTGCTGAATGTATTCTGTTAAAATTGAGAGAAGGGATTTGTGACTTAATCACAGAATTTCAATGAGCTGAGTTCATTTCTGCTAGCCCTTCTATTTTCTGTGCGCCTTGGATTATTTCTAGTCCCTATTGTGGAACCTGGCATGAGAATCTATTGGCACAAGACAAGAGGGATTAACTCAATAAGAACTGAATTATTGTTCCCAGAAAGACTCAACAACCTCCCTTCCTAATTCCTACTCAGCCCCCCCACCATTGTGTCATGGCAGGTGGGAGAAATAACTCACATTGTGTTTCTGCTTCCTCACCCATCCTAAAGTTATGACAGGGACAATAAGGACAAAGAACAGACTGGCAAGGGAAAATAATTCACATGAGGGTAATAAGCAGCCTTGGAGGATGTTGGGAAGGAGGGATTTGCTTTAATTGGGAGTTGTTATACTGTAATAGTCTGACTGTATAGACACATGATTCTTGGGCTCTTTTAAACACCAGCTAGTTTAGCTGACCTCTTTCCTCCAAAAGACTGCTTTTTGATTTCCACCGTGCAGGGTGGAAAGAAAAGGAGAAGTCTGACACTGAAGGGAGTTAAGTGCTGCTCTCAAGGCCTACGACTATTTCTCTAATTGCTTTACCATAAAATGACTCTACCTTTATCGTCAATGATTAGGACCTGTCCAAATGCTCTCCTGCCAAGACAGCAGCAGAGGAATAACCAGCTATGCCCATCAGAGTGGGTAGTAGGCATTGCAAAAGAATTAAAGCTGCCTGGATTTCCCAATTGACATTTAACTTGTAATCACTGGTTAACTCTCACCCTAACTCTCACCCACTTGGCCAGTCACCTTTGTGAAGGGTGACCTGAACAACAACACAAGGATTTGGATTTAATCCCAAGTCTTCTAAGTCCTAGGATTACTACAAAGGTCCCTCACTAGCTGTGTGACTTTGGGAAAGTCACTAAACCTCTCTGGATCTTAACTGTAAATATAATGTTATGCTTGTCTGACAGTGCTGGGCTTGGCTTCTCTTTTGATGTCTCTTGTGACTCTCAGATTGTCATATCATGAAATTGCTCTAGATAGTCCCAGCCTAGACTAGTTGTGGGGGTTAAGTGGGAACATATTAGCGATATTCTCACCGTTGACCCCCTTTCCTCTCAAATTTTCTCCAGAGAGCTTGGTTATAGAGAGATATAAACAAACATCTTGTCAGAACCACATGCAGGTTGATATAAACTGGAAAACATAGAAGGGCCTCTGGAAAAGTCATTTTACCAGTTCCCCCTCAGGTGGATAACAGAAAACCTTAAAGATGCTTAAATCACATGTATAGGAACATTCGTAACCACATAATCTAACAGCTGACAACTGAAAACAACCTCAGTGTTCATCAGAAGAATGGACAGAGAAATTGTGATATATTAATACAAGAGAATACTACTTGGCAATGCAAAAGAATAAACCATGGACACAGTCAACAGCATGCATTGGTCTAACGGTTATTAAGTTGCATGAAAGAAACCAGATGCAAAAGAGTACATCCTAGCTGATACTATTTAAAGAACAGGCAAAACTAATTGATGGTAAGAGAAGTTAGGATGTGGGTTGCCTGGGCAGGAAGTTGTGCATATTGACTGGGAAGGGCATGGGATTATAGATATGTTCTGTATGTGGATTTGATTGGTGGGCACTTGAGTGTTTGCACTTGCAGAAAATAAGCTATATATTTAAGATTGGCGCCCTTTATGTACACTGAATCCCAATAAAACTGTTTATATATTTATATACACTCATATACTTATTCAGTGATTTAGGATGCATTTGTATAATTTTTGGGATTTTTTTCCCCATGAAGGGAAATGTAAAGGGTAATAAAGGCCTCTTTAGTGAGCAAATTTCACAGTAGTGTTACTATCAATAAGAAATGGACTTTGGATTTAGATGCCTGGAGGTTAAATTATATTTATGGTTATTAGAAAATTGCTTCTAAGGAAGCCCTACCCCTACTAAATTAATTATCAATCTTTGGTGACCCTGAAGGTGGAACATAAGTCAAATGAAATTTATTTTGGCAGAATCAAATTGTATTGACTTCTCAGTAATGGCCTCTGTGCCTCATTAGTTAGCATAGGAAAGATTATAGTAAATGATCAATCACTGAAACTCATTCAGAACCATCTTTTAAAATGTGGAATCCTTGCGCTGAAAACGCAATGAAGCTCATTAATTAAGAGGCAGTGGATGGTTCTCTATGCTTCACACACAAAAAAATGTGACTTGATTTATCCTTTGACTCATAAATTAAGGCCAAGGATAAAGAAAAATATTATCGGCAATATTTTTTCAAGCCTTTAAAAATGTATAGAGATATAGAACATTCTTTCTTCTTTTTTCTTGCTTTTTTATAATGTGGCTAATAAAATATAAAAAGACAGGATAACACAGGCTTATAACTTATTAATTTGAAAACACACTGATATATTTCTTAACGATAGGATCGACATTGCTGGAAAACCTATTTGTATGTTTACATAGTCCCCAACTAATTGACTTGAGTTAGAAATATTAATGTGCCTGAATCCCCATGCTGTGCTTATACTTTTCTACCAAAGTATTAAATCTCAGAATTTTTATATACTTTGGTTATTCAGCTGAGAAAAAAAAGGAAAAAAGAAAAGAAAAGAAAAGAAAAGAAAAGAAAAGAAAAGAAAAGAAAAGAAAAGAAAAGGAAAGGAAAGAAAAGGAAAGGAGCTGGTAGGAATTCACTTGATAAGGACCAGGTAAAAGAAGGCATATATATTGATGCAGAGTTTTTCTCTTCAACATGAATTCCCAGTGTAGAATGTATCAGAGATCTTGAAGGAAGGTGACACATGCAGAGAACACCAGGGTTTGCTGAAATGTACTGAGCACAACCCAGAGGCCCACAACTTTTATTAAAATGGCCAGGAAACATGTTTCTTTTCAATCTACCTAATCCTAACAAGATGCTAAAGCAAAAGTCCTTATGTAGCAAATGGTTTGGCAGCAGCCTCTCCCAGGACTTTGGGGTTATTTGAAGGGCAAGCTTTTCCATTTTCCTCTACTTTCTAAAGAAGTACGGAGAGAAAATAAAATGAGAATGCTTTTTCTCAGGAGGAATATGTTGTAGAAATGCTAAGAAAACAATAACAATATATTCTTTCCCATAAAGACTCTTCGGGTTAGTTTTAACACATTGCATGCCTACAAAGAAAGAAACCACAATCACCCTAAGGTTGTGGTACCAGGAAATAATAAAACTATTTTTAAGATAATTCTTCACTTTTTTTTTTATACGAAAAAAAAAAAAATAAAGAAACCTCACAGAGAATAAAATGCTATTTTTGGTTTAACAAATGAGGAGGCTGAAGCCAGATGGGTAAAGTTACCTGCCCAGGGTCATCCTAATACACTGCTTCTCGAAGCATCCTTCCTGGAGTAGCTGCATCAGCATCACCTGGGAAGTTGTTAGGAATGGGAATTCCTGGTCCCCATCCCAGACCTGCTGAATCAGAAGCTCTGGGGGAAGCACTGTCTACCTGGGATTAAGCCAGGTAGTTGTTAACCTAGAGAACACGGTTTACTAAAACTTTCCACCAGAAATCCCCTGGACTTGGAGAACATAGAGATGTTATGGTGTGAATATACACGTGGGTTTCAGGGTGGGTCAGACATTATCTCACTCTGTGACCATTACTGTATCTATCTAACATTACTTTTTCAGGCTTTTCCAAACTTTTCATATTAGTCTTAGGCCAGTCTGATATTACTTTCTCTGAAACTATTTCTAATGTTACTGTCACAAAACTCTTAAGGGTGTTGGAGCTGACAGGCAGGGTAGAGGTGGTGTGGGCCAGGTGTCTCACTCCCAGGTAAGGACATAGGGGAGGGGAAACCCAATGACTGGAGTGGAATTGACAACTTGTAATGGGGCAGTAGTCATAGGTGTAGAAACTGGGACCACTGAATCTAATTCCTGTTTTTTTACAACTAACCATGTGACACCATTTTCACTGAAGGGACTGTGGAACATTCAGAGATGCTAGAAGGCTAGAACCTTGATTCAGAATTTCTCTAGGGCATTTCTTGTCAATTTCTGATTGCACGATGTAAAAAACAAAAACAAAGACAAAGCCTGATAATCCAATAACCTTCTCCCCACTGGAGTAAGAGAATTATGATGCTAGGCTTTCCAAAAAGAAAACATACGATTTAAATTACCATCAATTACCAATTAATTTATTGTCTTCCATGCCATACTGTTATTTTCAAAAACACAATTAAATACCATATATGGTAGATGCTGAAATCTAGTATCATCATGTTGTGACATTTATTATGTAAAGGAATATTTTGGTTTGTGTTCCTAATATGCCCATTTATATACTTAGAGTAGCTGATCTTACATACCGCATTTTCTAATAATTATTTTTATTTTTAAAATTAACCTTTGAATCATGAAATCTTATTTCCCAAAGTAAGTAATCATCTACTTCAGTGTTTTCCAAACTGGTAGCTGGGAAATCCATCCTTCCAAGGAAAGGTCATTAGGCTGCCCAACATATAAACAGAACTGAAGCAACAGTGAGGCCTTCAGGTCTTCCCCAGTACAACTTCCCCTAATTCTCTTTCTAATTATATAGTTTTTGCTGCATGAAGTCCCACAAGCTCAGCAGCTTACACCAACCAGCATTTGTTCAGATGGAGTCTGGGCTTGTGAGGGCAGCTCTCTTTTAGGCTGTCATCCCGGTCTGCCTAAAGTTTGTTCCTCCATGTGTCTCATGCAAGTCCCAGGTCAGAGGGTCAGGCAATACCAGGGAGAAGCTGCTAGTATGGCAGGCTGTGAAGTGTAAGAGGGCAAGCTCTACCACCAGGCATATTCCAAGGCTCCGATCACATCCTGTCTGCTAATATCTCATTGGCTACGACAATTCATATGGCCAAGTCCAGAGTAAAGGAGAAGGGAAGAACACCCTACTCACCAGGAGACCACTCCAAAGGTATGTATATATAATTCTGTTTTAGGAGAGTGAAGAATTTGGACCATTAATTCAATCAAACACATAGTCCTACCCTGTGGTGGTTGCATGCCCAACTAAGTATAACTCATTAAACAATGACAGGTTGTTTAAAAACCATACATTGATCTAGCACCTCTTGTATTATCTTGGATAGAGATGAGCCCATTCTACTAAGTAAAGTATCACAAGAATAGAAAAAACAAGCACCACATGTGCTCACCATCATATTGGTATTAACTGATCAATACTTACGTGCACATGTGGTAGTAACATTCTTCGGATGTCAGGGAGATGAGAGGGAGAAGGGGGAATTGGGTATATTCACACCTAATTGGTGCAATGTGCACTGTCTGGGGGATGGACACCCTGGAGGCTCTGACTTGGGTGGGGCAAAGGGAATATATGTACCCTAAACATTTATGCCCCAGTAATATGCTGAAATAAATAAATAAATAAAAACGAGGAGGGAATCCCATACATTGAGTTTAACAATCTCATTTTGCAAAAGGACAAAATAGAGGCTTGGCTTAGAGAAAATAGTGACTTCCCCATGGCTACACAGGTAGAGACAAATCTAGAACCCTGATAAACTTCTCATAGTTTATAACTTTCTCCAGTGCAATACAATGGGTCTACCTTCAAAAAATGTCCCAACTCACTTGAATTAAATAGTAATATTATAAATATATTTTTGGATATACTATGCTGTCTTTATTTTTATGGTGGGTTTAGAAGTTTATTTAATACAGAGACAGGAAGATGGTCTAGCACAGTGCAGATAATGGGCCTTGTTACTCCAAGATCAGGCATTTACTAGCAGTGTGACTTTGCACACAGTGTTTGCTTCTCCAAATATTTTTTCTTACATTTATCAAATAAGATACTAATGATGCCTTCAGAGGGTTGTTTTGAGAATAAAGTATCTGACACAGAATAATTATGAATTCTTTTTCATTGGTTTATCATTCAGTAGCCAAGAGCTATGCTTTCCTTTCGTGTCTACTGTTCAGAAATTGATACCCTGTTTTTCAGGAGTGTATCTTCCTTCCTGAAGAAGAAAATTTTATAGAAAGTGAATCAACCAAATCTCTAGATAGCAAAAGGCAAAAAGTCTAACCTTCTTTGCTCAGTCCTCTAATTTGTTTCTAATATGAAATTTCCTGACACAAAGCAAACTTGAAATGACTTCTTTGAAGTCAAATTCCACACATACAATATGTGTTTGGTAATTACTGTAAAAACAGACAGCAAAATTCAAAAGGTTTAAATAATTTATCTTGCAGTAGAATTTGTAAAGGCCATTTGGTCAGCAGGGTGCCTATTTGACATGTGGCTGGTGTGCTTTCTCCATTTTTTATTGGTGGTCAGGTGGTATAATTAGAACTTCTGTGACATGTTTGTCTTACTTGAATGTTTTATCACTTTGCACTGCTCTTTCATCTTGAAGCTAGTATTTGTCCTGCCATGCAAATTTATATGTGTATTCATTAGTCTGCCAAAACATCTATAAACATTAAATTGCTTTTGAGAAGCAAATGCCTAATTTGTAGGAAGAAAATATATTTAAATTTTTTTTCATAGATTCTTTCTGTAAGAATTTTGATAAATGTAATTATGTTCATAGGATATATTTAACACCAGTAGGTGTAGTGACTTAAATTATCTGCTGATTGAAATATTTTGTGAAAATCACTGTTGACTGAAATAAAAGTTATGATGGAAATTCCTATAAATACCTTCCCTCAAAGTAAAAATATATATCTCAATGTTTTGCAAACAGTCACGCATCCTGGCTGTTTTTAGCATCTGCTACCCTGAATTATGTAGTTCAAATACAGTCCCTGTATACCTGGAAATTTCCTAATTTCCTGGGAATTCCTAATATTTGGGAATTTCCAGAGATCCTTTTGTTTTCCTTCAACTCAATAATAACAGTTCACAGAATGTTGCGTAGATGATATTTAAAAGTACACAGATACTCTTCCTGATAGTTTTTGTATTACTGAAAGTAAAATGCTATTGAAAATGTAGAGAAAATGGGAAGGTTTGAATCAGTTTTCAGTATTAGCACTTTCACATTCACATACCCTCTGCTTCTCCATTCATTTATTTGCCACCTTACATTGCCTCCGTGAGACCCATTTACCAGCAAGAATAGTTCTCTTGGTGTACTAGAGTTAATTTCGAATTAAAATGGGGCTTCTATCTCTCAAGTTGATTTTTTTTTCTCTTTTCTTTTTTTTATTTCAGCATATTATGGGGCTACAAACGTTAAGGTTACATACATTGCCCTTGTCTCCCCTCCCCCCTCGAGTCAGCGCTTCAAGCGTGTCCATCCCCCAGATGGTGTGCATCACACTATGTGTGTATACACCCATCCCTTCTCCCCCCTCCCACCTGCACCGCATGGGACAAATGTTTGTTTTTTTTTTCTTTTCTTAACATTTTGGTTACATTTTATATCTTTACCTCTCCCTAGCCAGGGTTAGAGGTATGCCCTTCCCCTCCACAATGTTCACCACATCACTCAGATGTGGGACTACCCCTCCAACCCCTAATCCCTGGTGAGCACCACCACCCTTTGAGCACCATAGTGTTAATCAGTCAGTACCAATTTGATGGTGAGTATATGTGGAGCCCATTATTCTGATCTTGTGTCACCTCATTTTGGATAATGGGCTTAAGCTCAATCTAGGATAATATAAGCGGTGCTAGCTCACTGTCGTTTCTTAGAATTGAGTAATATTCCATTGTAAACATACACCAAATTTTAGTAATCCACTCATGAATTGACGGGCACTTGGGTTGTTTCCACATCCTTGCAATAGTGAATTGCGCTGCTATGAACATTCAAGTGCAGATGTCTTTATAATAGAATGTCTTATGCTCTTTTGGGTAGATGCCTAATAATGCTATTGCTGGGTCAAATGATATTTCTATTTTTAGCTCTTTGAGATATCTCCAAATTCTTTTCCATAAAAGTTGCACTAATTTGCAGTCCCACCAGCAGTGTAAGAGTGTTCCTGTCTCTCCACATCCTCGAGTTGATTTTTTATATTAAAATTTCATTGAGTGTAACATACATGTAGATAATTGCAAAATTCACAAGTGTATAGCTTAATGAATTTTCACAAAATGAATACAGACAAGTAACCACCACATAGATCTAGAAAGCCTACAGCACCCTAGAAGCTATCCTCATGCCCCTCTGCTCACGAGCTTCCGGAAGTAATCACTATCTAACTTCTAATCTCATAGATCAGTTTTGTTTCTGAACTTTCTATAAATAGAATCATACAACATGTTCTCTTTTGTCTGGTTTGTTTTGTTCAAAATTTCATTTGTGAAATCGATTCATTTTGTTACCTATAACAATAATTGACTGGTTCTCATTGCTGTTATATTACATGTTTGACAAAAACATCATTTAATTACCCATTTTATTCTTTGTTGTTGTTTTTTGTTGTTGTTTGTTTGTTTGTTTGAGACAGAGTCTCACTCTATTGCCCGAGCTAGAGTGCCCTGGCATCAGCCTAGCTCACAGCAACCTCAAAGTCCTGGGCTCAAGCAATCCTTATGCCTCAGCCTCCCAAGTAGCTCGGCTAATTTTTTCTATATAATTTTTTAGCTGGCCAATTAATTTCTTTCTATTTTTAGTAGAGATGGGGGTGTTGCTTTTTCTCAGGCTGGTTTCGAACCCCTGACCTTGAGTGATCCTCCCACCTTGGCCTCCCAGAGTGCTAGGATTACAGGCATGAGCCACCATGCCCAGCCTACCCATTCTATTCTTGACAGGAATTCGTGTTGCTTCCATTTTTTATTTTTAATTTCTTGTGGCTATTACAATAGTGCAGCTAGGAATATTTTGGTACATGTTTTTAGTGAAGATATGTATGAATTTCTGTTGCCTATATATGTATGTAGGGGTGGAAATGTTACATCATGTTATAAATATGTTTGACTTTAGTAAACACTACTGTAAAGTTTTCTAAAGTGGTTACACCAATTTACACTCACCACAGCAATCATAGGGAACTCTAGTTGTTCCACACATTTGTCAACACTTGGTATTATCCATCTTTTCATTTTAGGCAATCTGGTGAATATGTTTTCTTGATTATTCATGAGGTTGAACGCCTCTTCAAATACTTATGGACAATTCTTATATCCTCTTTGTAAAGTCACTGTTTATATCTCTTGCCCATATTTGTATTCAATTTGACTTTTTCTTACTAATTAGGAATTTTCAATATAGTCTCAAAATAAATCCTTTGTTGGATATTTGTGTTGTGAATATCTTCTCCCTGTTTGCTTTTATTCACTCTCTTAATATCTTTTAATGAAGGCTTGTTCTTTTTTAAGTATCTTGTTTATAATTTTTTCTTTGTGATTATGGATTTTTGCATCTTACATAAGAAATCATCATTTCCTCTATCATCGTAAATTATCATCATAATGTTTATTTTTCCCCCAGAGCTTCATTATTTGACTTTTAACATTTAGGTTTTCAATCTGTTTGAAATTGATTTTTTCAAACAGATATCCAATTGTCCCATTGTCCTACTCTGATTCTTGTACTTTACACTATAATTTCTCATTTTAAAATTTAAAAATAAGCCTTGAAAACTAGCTGTGTGAGTCCTCTAGCTTTGTAGTTTTCCTTCTTTAAGATTGTCTTGGTCACTTTTTTGTCATTTGTAATTCATATATAAATTTAGAATCATATTTTCAAGAACTACAAAAAAAAAGGCAAAAAAAATGCCTACTAAGATTTTGATTGAGATTGAGCTAAAATCTATAAATTAATCAGGAGATATCTGATATCTTTAAAATCCTGAGTCTTTCAATCCATGTACCAGTTATATTACTCCATTTATTTAAAATTTCTTAAATTTTTCTCAATATTGTTTTGCAATTTTTGGTGTATAGTTTTTTTCCCAGGCATTTGATGGTTTTTAAAGTTTTTTTAAATGGTATTG